AGTGTGGATTGAAAAATTAACAGCAATGAAGCAGGTGTGCGTTGCAGGTAAAGTTACATATTATGACAATCTGTTTAATCTCAGCTCATGATGTTTTACCCTGGTGCAGGGGCGCCGGAAGCAACATGAAGCGGCGGGGGCAGCCATGTAAAAAGGGCACTTACTCTTGAGCCTCAATTTTTGTGCGGGGGGGGGGGGGCAATGCTCGTTAACATTTTGCTGTATAACGCCGATACTTCATTACTTGTACCTAATACAGTTAGACACATTTCGGCATAGATTGGAAAATTTTTGTTTGTTGCATGACACTAAAGACTAAAATGTATTGTAAAGCAACATGACAGTTATCAGTTATTTAGGAAGGTTTCCTTTTTTACTTTTTTTCATATTAGTTTGAAACTGATTCGTAACGTTTCTGAAGCCCCGTTTACACTACGCTCAATTTTTGGTACGGCACGGATAAAATTGATACCCGTACCACTTTTTTGGTTCTTGGACTACCTAAATAGGTAGTCCAAGAACCAAAAAAGTGGTACGGTACCAAAAATTGAGCGTAGTGTAAACTGGGCTCAAAATATAGGTATTCCTCAAAATATAGGTATTCCCGTGCCGTACCAAAAATTGAGCGTAGTGTAAACGGGGCTTGACGGGAATTCAGATTCAAGTATGAGCTAAATTGTATAATTTCAATTTCAATTCATGTGAAAAACGCATGACGTTCGAAGTGCAGTTTTGGTAAAAAGGCAACCTGTTGCCCCCGTGCTGCCCCCGCACTGTTTAGGCAACGGGGGCAGCTGCCCCCGCTGCTCCCGTGGCTCCGGCGCCCCTGCCCTGGTGAATATGATTCAACCATATATGATTAAAAAATCTATATTATGTGTTACTACTTTGCAATGCAACATTTGTCCTATCATAACCCTAACCCATGACCCGTCTTCATACAGCGAAATGATTTGAACACAGGGTTTTTTTAAGAACTTGTCTGGGGGGGTGGGCATCTACAAAAAGGGACCATACTATATTGAGTGTGGAGAGATGACAGATGGTTGTTTGTGACAAAACGTTTTGTGTGGTATCGTATG